TATAATAGATTTCGATCTGTTAAAGACAAAAAAGCCAATTGAAAACATTAAAAAAAATTTTTGTTTTTAAATGAAAAACAAAGAAATTATTCTTCCTCATCTAATTTTTTTAATACAGAAAAAACAACTTTGCCTTCGAGTTTCCCAATTACACTTAAAACTAAAAATGCAAAAAAACCTGGCAAAGCTGAAGCCTAAATTTTCAATGTTTAATTCTCATAAAAATCATATCTCAAAATTTTAAAAAAAAGTCTCATTCAAATTTACCGAAGTTAAATTAGTTATATCTTTAATCAATGTATCTTTCAAAGCTTAATTTCCATTTTTTTTTAATCAAATTTAGAGTTAAATTGGTTTCTAAATTCTATAACAAAAACTATTTACTTATAATTCATGAATTATTAATTGATGAGAAAAATACAGAAAATATTTAAACCAAAAAAAACATTTAAAAGTGGTTTGAAAGCCAACAACAAACACAACACACACAACACACAACACACCACACACAAAAAACACCAAAGCCTCCTCCACCATCCAAGTTCCCCAGTTTGCCCTGTTCCAATTAGGGTTGGCGTTTTTGCCCAGGAAAAATTGGTTGGTTGAAAAAGCGCCCAATTTTTTCGTGAAAAAGGGATCGGGGAACCGCCATTTCCGGCGCCCCCCAGGCCCCCCTTTTGGCTTTGTTAGAGATGGAAAAACCTCCCAACGAAAATCGGAGGGTTTTTCGGGTTTGGCCTGGAAACCCGGGAAATTTGTGCTTCTGTAAGGTTTTGGAAAAAAAGAAAAAGAGGAAAGAAAAAAAGTGAAAAGGGGAAGAAAATTAAACCACAACAAAAATTATTGCCCTTTAAATGTTGGCAAATAGATTACTCAAAAAATGAAAAAAAATACCAAGGATTTAACAAAATAAACTCAAGACACAATGCTATCTTCGCCCTTCTTTTCTAATACTCTTATAACATTTATCTCAAAAAGCAAAATTGTTAATTGATAGAATAGGACTTCAAAGGTTAAACCCGGAGACTAGATAGCAGCCACATGCCTATTTTAAAATTTAAGCAATATACAGACAAAAAGAAAGGCTTTTTGTTTTAGGTGAAAAAATGGGGAAATACGTTTGTAGAACGAATTAAACGTTTAAAGAAGGTTTCTTGGAAAAAATATTTAAATTTCGTCCTGAAAGGGGGGGTTGGGCTTTTTCCCTGAGAAAAAAACAAAGTTTTCACTCCGGTGGCCCCGCGCGGTAGATAAAAGGTTCAAGGGGAAAATTTTTCCACAAACGGCCTTCAAGTTCAATCTTCTGGGGGAAAAAAGTTTAAGTTCTTTGGTTTTTTACAACAATTTCAAGTGGACCTCCCCATTAAAGCGATGTTTAACTGAGTGACTGAAAAAACCAACACCCCGGAAAAAAACTCAAAAAGTTAAAAGAAAGAATGTGAAATTTGGCTGATCGGCTTTCCTTTACCTTAAAATTAACCCGAAAACCGACGGAAACTCCAAAGAAAAAGGTTCTTTTACGTCCACAAAGGTTTCAAGTTGAAACCAAAAAAGCTTTTTTGGGGCCATCTGGCAAACCCGCAGGGCAAACCTGTTAAAATCCAATTGCAAAAAATACCGTTAAAAAAACTTACCAACACTCCCTTTTCTGAATTAAGGAACTTTTATAATAACATGTTTTAAAGTTGAAAAGTTGAAAAATGGATTTGTTTTTGTTTCGTCAAATTTTGTTTTTGTTTTAACCGCCATTCGTTCCTTTTGAAAAAACCAATTATGAAAAAAAAAAAAGCAATTCGGTTAAACCGGTTCGGGTTTTTTTCCTTAACATTCTGCCCTTTGAATGGCTTTTGTGTTTTTGGTTTTTGAAAACGGGGAAAAAGGTTAGGGTGCCCCTTGGCCGATACCGCGGCCTGATGATTTGTTTTCCCTTGGGGCCAAGAGGCGGCGTGGCCATCCGCGTTCAAAGTTTTTCCGGCCTTCAAAGTCGCAGGTTAGAAAATGCCGCCGCGTTCCTTTACAGCGAAAACTTGGCGGCTGCCGTTTGTTTGCCTCAAGGGGCAGGCCGTTTGCGCGCGAGGGGACCAAAATAGAAAAATTTTAATAAAAACGCGTTAGATACCAAATAAATTTGTAAAACACAGTGGTTTTTGTTTTGTTTTTTGTAGTAACAATTTTTACAACTTCTTAAAATGAAACCAACTTGGAATGAACCGGTTTTTAAACGAGAGTTTTCAAAATTACACCTGAAAACGAAAAATTGGCAAAAGAAAAAAACCAATTTGTTGCTACAACACAAAAGGCGCGTGTAAACAAGTTTTAAAAGTTTTAAAATGCAAGAAAACAAACACAAATTAAGAGGTAAACAGTTGTAAAATTAAGCTTAGCACGACTGCTGTGGAAATCCCAAGGGTAAATTTCCTGCAAGCAGTGGTTTTGTCGGTGCAATTTTTACTTCCCTTGTTTTAAAAGCACTCTGGTGAAAAAAATGAATGGGTAAATACGTTTTAGCGGTTTTGTTGATATAAACAATCCTGAAAAAAAAAAAAAAAAAAATATGAAAATTGAAAAAAGTTGTCATTACAAAAGAATAATTTATCTAACTTACCGTTTCAAGACTACTAATAAAAGCAGCAAAAAATAACAAACATTTTGCTTTAGTTTCAACCTTCCTCAAGTTGGAAAGGAACTTGTTGAATTTTCTCTCTTTGTTTGAAGCCATAACAACACCTTGGGTGTTTTACAAATTAAAGCCAAAAAAAAAGATGAAAAAAAAAATGGATATTTGAGAAAAATAAAATTAGTGCATTATGACATGAACCAAAAGCGCGCCCCCAAATTGAAGTTTGTTACGAACTTCCCAAAAAAAAACTGGGTGGTTTGACTTTACAGATGAGAGGGAACGTGGCGAAAGTCGCAAAAAAAAAAACGAAATTCATCTGGTTCCTCTGGCTCCTCCTTGTGCTCCTAATGATATTTGCAAGAATCTACCGGGCCTGAGAGAAAACAACCAATCAGAGCCGACCAAGATGAAAGACGCTTTTGGTTGGTGGATTGAAGATAGTCAATTGTTGAGTCTCATTCCCAGTGTTGGTATTTGACGACCTGGGAATTAAACTTAACAATCAACTATCTTTCTTGGCTCTGATTGGTTCTTTTCATTCAGGCCCAGTGGATTCTCAAAAGCAAATACGACACAAAGTTACCTACTGCAACAACTCTGTAAATAATGTTATAAGG